ACAGGAAGAACCTAGGGTAGCCAGGATGGGTAGCGGGGGGGGGGGGGGGGGGGGGGCGGAGCTGGCAGGAACGTGGTGGGTGAAGAATTCCTCAAAAGAGGCAGGATAGCCTGACTGTGAACCGCGGGGATCTGGGAGCCAGCTGCCTAGGTTCGAACCCATTCACTAGTCATCTAACTCTGGGCAAGTTCCGGAACCTCGGGCTCCTCACCTGCAAAATGGGAGGAATGCCACTCCCCAGCCTACAGGGTTGCTGTGATCATGAGTCTATAAGTGCCCACAACAATGCCTGGGGCAGAGTCAGGGCTGTAAAGGGTTTGCTGAACATACCTACTTTCAAACCTCGTGCAATTTCTACTCGGGTGCATCTTAAATTGCAGCTAGGTTACTAGAAGAGAATATATTACTCAAAGCCAGAAGCTATAGCGCCAGGTCCTGAGACACCAGCCCCCGCCACCCCCCACTCCCCGCGGGGCTGGGACGAACAGGGACTAGTGAGGTCCCAGAGTCCTGCTTGCAGGTGATCAGCGGGCAGCAACTCCCCAAGGATGACATGAGTAAAGAGAGGTCCATTGTGGATCCACTGGTGAGAGTGGAGATCTTTGGTGCCCGCCCTGACACAACCAGGCAAGAGACCAGCTACGTGGAGAACAATGGTGAGGCTGGGCGGTGCTGGGCAGGGTGGAGGGGCGGCAGGAGGAGCGTGGCTGCTTCCCTACCCAGCTGCCCTCCATGAAGCACCCCCTCTCCCACCTCCATGGGAGGCAGTGTGGAACGGGACAAAGAATGAGGGCTTGGACATCTTGGATCTGAATCCTGGCCCCTTACTTACGTGCTCCGGCGACCTGGGCAAATTGCTTACCCACTCTGCACCGCCGTCCCCTCACCTGTAACATGCCGAGTGCTGTGAAAATTGTGGAACACAAGGATGCGCCTAAAGCAGCCAACAAGGTCTATTCCTTCACTCCCTCTCTCACTCACCCCCACCTCAGGTTTTAATCCATATTGGGGGCAGACGCTAAGCTTCCGGGTCCTGGTGCCCGAACTGGCCCTGCTGCGTTTTGTGGTCAAGGATTACAACCGGAAATCCCGAAATGAATTTATCGGGCAGTACACAGTGCCTTGGACCTGCATGCAGCAAGGTGGGCCAGTCCTTCGACCCCTGGCCAACGCCACCCGGGCTCTGGCTGTCCTTCTAATGCCCTCCTCCTGCCCCTCTCCAGGCTACCGCCACATACACCTGCTCTCCAAGGACGGCATCAGCCTCCATCCAGCTTCCATCTTCGTGCATATCAGCATCCGGGAAGGGCTGGAGGGGGATGAATCCTAAGGTGGGCACTTCTTGGGAAGGGTGGGTGCACCGGCTTGAGATGGTAAGAAAAACCTGGAAGGATGCTCCAGAAAGCAAACCGGGGTGGTAAGAATCAAGTTTTGGATTGTGGATTCCTAAGCACAAAATTACCTCACCCTTCCTAACAAGCCAATCTAGGATCTGATTTTTCACTCTCTTCCCCTTCTTCGTTTTTACAAGTCTGTGGTATCATTTCTACCCGCTTCCTTCACATACTCTATACTGGACTTCCTTCCTTTCTCTTGCCATAGGCTCAATCCCCTACACAGATCTAGGACTAATCTCTCTCATCAACCCTGGCTCAAAGGCTGGCAGCAACCCAGAGAGGGGCTTGGAGCAGAAGGACACAAAGAAGCATTATCCCCTCCACCCTAACTTCCTCTAAGCCCAGAGCCAAGGGAAAGATAAATCAAGCCTCAAGGCTCCCCAGGCAAAGGGGGGGGGGAAGGACACTGTACCCTAAGACCATACTGTGACATTCAGGAGAACACTGCATAACCCTGAGTCCCCACTGGATTGCTCTCTCCTGGCGCCACCTGTATAAATAGAGCTTTTCTACCCAGTTTGGCTTGAGTATGGTCTGTTGCTGGGCAAGAAGAGGACATATGAAGGTTGGGGGACATTTGAGGAAGACAGATGGGGCAGGGAAAGGGTGGAAAAATAAGTTTCCAGCCCCCCCCCCCACGTGCTACATAGAAGGGTACAGAAATACGGCTCTAAGGGCAGAAGAAGGAGACAAAGGGTTATGTGATCCAAGCCCTCCCGAGAGTTCGCCTGGAATAGTCCCGGTTTATGTCTACTGTCCCGATATAATGATTAAAAGTACCCTTTTTCATTTTCCCAGTGTGTCCCAGTTTCAGTGATTAAGCATACGGTCACCGTGAGGTACTCTGGATTAGACGTTCTCCCTGGGCCCCCCGTCTCCCCCAAGTCCCATGCCTTTCACACTGTCTTGTGCTTTAACTCCCGTGCAGCTGCCGAGCCAGGCTGAGGATAGAGGCTGAATTAAAGCTGCTTCCGGGGGGGGGGGGCGGGGAGGGCTTCCTGGGTCTACAGGTAGACCAAGGGGCTCAGAAATAAGGAGCAGGGCAAGGACCAAGACAGGCTCAAGGACAGAGAGAGAAGGCAGACCCGGGAACGTTTCGGAATCCCTCGGCGAAGACGGAAGGAGACCAAGGGGAGGCAGAGGTCTGAGAGGGAACAGGGCGGATCGGCAGGACAGCCTGGCCGTGTTCAGTCAGGGACGTGGACGCGTCGCTAAGCTAGGAACCGTTCTGTTTAACATGCTTTAGAGAGCGGGAGGCGCAACAGCACATGCAGTTAGCTGCAACTGTGTGGACTTGACAGAGCAAGGGGGAAAGGGGAAGAGAGAACAGGTAAAACCGAGGTCGCAGAGCCAGGGACTCTGGGGGAGCAATGAAGGACTCGGGCACTCAGGGGTTAGAAACACAGTGTGCCCCAAACGGAAATCAATTTGTGGTCCGTGTCACTCTTGTATATGGCCATCAACGTCACAGTACTACAGCCTGAGTCCCTGCAGGCCTCCGGCCACCCGGGCACCTCGAAGCCAGCCCTTCCTTAGGCCCCGAGCCGCAGGCGAGCTCTGCTTCCAGTCGGCACGTCTCGGACCACACCCTCCAAGAGGTCAGGCAGGCTCTCAGCCCTCGGGCCCGGTTGGGGGCGCGGCAGGAGCAGGAGGGCTGGGCTCCTCCAGCTGCACGTCATGCAGGTGTACCGTGGGGGTGGTGGGGTCTTTGCCCACTCCTTGGTTGGGGTCGGCCTGGTCGGGGTGGTGCCGGCGCACGTGCTTCACCACCTGGAACTTCTGCTTGGCCTTGTAGCTGCAGAGGCGGCAGAAGAAGGGGTGGCGGTCTGTGTGGGTGAGGGCGTGATGGCGCAGGCCGGCAGCCCAGCGGAAAGCACGGTGGCACACGTTGCACACGTAGGGTTTGGCCTCGCTGTGCTTGCGGAGGTGGGTGCGCAGCAGGAAGCGTGTCTTGAAGGCCTTGCCGCACTGCTCACACATGAAGGCCCGCGCCTCCCGGTGCCGTGTCTCCTGGTGCACGCGCAGCGCGTCGGCCCGGTTGGTACAGTACTCACACTCGGGACACTGGTATGGCTTCAGTCCTACAGGACGGGGCAGGGCCAACGAACAAAATTACTACCGAAGGGGGCGGAGCAACGTTTAGCGGGCCCAGGAGTCACTGAGATCCTGGGACGTGACACAGGCAGCAAGCTGACTCAGGACTGCATCTATGGAACGCTCCAGCCCCGTCTGACGTTTCTGCGCCCTCCTCCCAACACAGCCCCTTGTGTACAATGAGTGCCCAATGGATGCTGATAACTAACTGGACCCCTGAGTAGCCACCTGATAGCAATGAATACTCACTCAGATATCATAGGGTTTCCAAACGGGAAACTCCAACCCCCCCTTTGATCATGGGGTACTCATGGAATTTGGGAATCCGTTTAAATAGAACTCCTTGTTCAACTCAAGAAGTAAAAGAAAATGCTTAAGAAGGAAGGGGTAGAGGCAAGAGGGTGGCCCTCACAGATGCAGAGTGCCCTGAAATGCATCTGGTTATTTCCTTGACAAGAGGGCATCCTATGCATAATACAGGCACGCCATCATTAGCCGTTTTCTGAGCACCTAAAAGTCATGGACTCCACACCCAAGAGAAAAAAAGAAGTTAACACAGGTGAACCTTCCATGTTCTCCTCGTTACTCCAAATAGTTCCATCGTGTCTGCCAGAACTAAGCAGACCTCTGTCTGTCACACGGTTATGTTGGGGGGTTCTCAATGGGGGGTGGGTGGCCTAGAGCCACGGTCAGCAGGGAAGCTTTTACAAAGTACACATGTCCAGGCCCTCAGGCTCACCTCTCTCCTGATTCTCATAGGTCTTCAGTGGGTTGGGAAGCTATTCTGGCCAGTCAACCTCCCCTCTACCCCTAACGTGTGCCCTGAATCTGAGTAAGGACATCCGCCACCTCAGGGAGGTTGGGTGTGCAGGGAGTGGGGGCTGGGGGGGCCCCTTGGGCCCGTCGACAAGTGCACCACAGACTCACCTGTGTGCTTGGTCATGTGGTACTTGAGCTGGTTGACCCACTTGCACTTGTAGCCACAGTCAGGGCACAGATACTTCCGTTCTTCCTTGTGGATCCGCATGTGGTACTGGGAGAGGGGAGAGCAGAGTATGCCCAGAAAATGTGCACCCTTGGTCCTCAACGGAGGCGCTCCTGTCACCTAGCGGGCTGCCCGGTCTGGCCACTCTGACGCCACCCTAACTGGGCCTACCTCTCGCTCTACCCTATCTCAGCTCTCCACTTACTCCCTGTGCCTTTGGGTGCTTACCCCCTCTCAGTCTATTAATCTATAAAATGAGAAAGAGCAAAGGTAACTAGATCTCCTGTTTTGCAAGGATTAAAATTACAGCGTCCAGCATGCAGTAAGTGCTCGATAAATGCTAGCCGTGATCATCTAGATCACCACCGAACTACTACATGCCTCTGTCACAGGCCAAGCACGCACACTGGAATTTCACCTTCACAACCGCCCCAGGAAGCATCACCCCCCACCCCCTGCCCCGCTGTCACAGGGGAGGAATCTGAGGCTTGGTGGCATTAAGGGGCTTGCCAGAGGTCCCAGAACGAATTAATAACCGGGAGTCGGGATCAGAGAACCCAGGGAGTGCCCTCCGCGGCCCCCGGCCTTACCTTGAGGCGGGAGGGGTCAGCACAGGCGTAGGGACAGAGGTGACAGCGGTAGGGCTTCTCCCCCGTGTGGATGCGGCTGTGCCAGGTGATCTTCTGCCGGTTCTTGGTGCTGTAGGCACAGTCGGTGCACTTGTAGAGCCGGGTGCCGCCGTGCCCTTTCACGTGGTGGTCCAGCACCAGTTGGTGGCGGCACGCGAAGTCACAAAAGGGGCAGCGCAGAGGGGGCTGGCCGCCGCCCCCCGCCCCCGCCGCCGCCGCCGCCTCCCCCTCGTGCCGCTCCAGGTAGTGCTTGACCAGGCCGGCGCGCTCCCGCGCGGCGAACTCACACAGCTGGCAGCGGTGGCTGAAGTGCCGCCGCCGCCGGTGCTCGTCCAGGGCCGGCCGGCTGGGGAAGGCCTCCCGGCAGGCCCCGCACTCCAGCCGCGGGTGCTGCTTCCGCGTGTGCCCCCGCAGGCTGGCCGGGCTGGGGCACAGCAGCCCGCAGCGCGCGCAGCGCAGGGGGCCGGCGGCGGCGGCCTCGGCGGGGGAGCCCGGCGTGGCGGGCGGCGGCTCGGGATGGCGGCGCAGGGCGTGCTGCTTGAGCGCCGTCTCCGAGCTGAACTGGGCCTCGCACTGGGGGCAGGCGAAGGCGGGGGTGCCCCGGTGGCAGCTGTTGACGTGGCGGGTGATGTCGTGGCGCAGGTAGCCGCTGTAATCGCAGAGCGGGCAGAAGTGGGTGGGCGTCTTGTCATGGACCCTCAGCCGGTGCAGGCGCAGTTTCGAGTTGGTACCGAACGTCTGCGGGCAGGCGCTGCAGGGGATGCGGCCGACGCCCGTGTGTCGGGACTGATGGGCCTCCAGCCGGTACCGTCGGGTGGTGGAGAAGTCACAGAAGGGGCACTGATGGGGCTTCACCCCCTCGTGCTTGAGGCGCCGGTGCTGCTGCAGGCAGCGGCTCTGTTTGCAGGTGAAGCCGCAGTCGGCGCACTGAAGCGGGGGCCGGGGCCGGCGGGCCGGCGCAGCCGCGGCGGCGGCGGCGGCGGGGTGCCTCCGCTGCTGGTGGAGCCTCAGGGCGGCGGCGGCGGGGCTGCTGAAAGAGCAGAGGCCGCACTGCAGCTCTCCAGACTCTTCGAGGGGGCAGCCCCGGCTCTGGTGAGTCCTCAGGGCCCGCTCCTGCTGGCAGCTGAAGGGACAGGTGGGGCAGGAGAAGCGAGCCCCCTTCTGCTTTGGAGCCAGAGCTGGGTCCCCACTGCCGGGGCTGCACTCCGTGCCCCCCCCGTTCGCGGAGGCCGAGTCCCCGTTGCTCAGAAGGGAGGCCCCTCGCTTTGCTGCCCCGCCGCGTCCCCCCCGGCAGCCTTCGGCCACGTGAGAGGTGATGGAGGAGAGCCGAGAGCACAGGAACGAGCACGAGTTGCAGTGAAACTTGCCCTGCTCGAAGTGGAACTTCTCGGGGGTCTCTGCGGGTGAGGTGTTCCCCGCGGGAGGGGCTGTGGAGACGCAGAGCGTGCCAGGAGGCTCCTCTACTTCTTCGGGCTCCCTAGGAAGCGCAGGAGCAGCATCTTTGGGGAGCACCAGCTCTACTTCTAACGGTGCAGGTGGGGGCTTCCCACCTTCTGCATCCTCGGAGACCTGGGTGCCTGGGGGCAGGGGATGTGGACGGAGGGGTGAACCCGGTCTGGGCAAAGCCTTGTTCCTTCTGAGCAGAACGGGGCACTTCTTCAGCAGGTGGGTGCTAAGGCCGCGCTGCTGCTTGAAGCTGGCCCCGCACTCGGGGCACAGCAGGGGCTCTCGGCGGCCCTGGCACCCCGTCCTGGAGTGCACACTCAGGGCCTTCTCCCGGCGGGTAATGAACGGGCAGTGTGGGCAGCGGAAGGCCCGCCCCTCTCCCTGGATCACCACCATCTGAACCCGCCCCTCCAGCACCAGAGCCTCGGCTTGCTCTTTGTCCTGCCTCCGGAGGGCCCTGAGTAAGGACTCTGACTCAGGGAACTGGGGGAGGGGGGCGCTCTCGGAGGCCAGAGCGGCCTTGAAGTTTCCCGCCCAGCCGTCAGGAGGCTCCTCTGAGGACGGGGCATTTCGGGGGGCCTCAGAGACTGGCTTTTCCAGAACGGGCTTTTCTTCGGCACCCAAGCCAGAAGTTCCGGCACCTTCGAAGGTAGACAGCTCTGTCAAAGTTTCCTCTGGCCCTTCCAGTCTCAGGGGCCCTGAGGCATCCAGGGGCCTGAACGCCACAGGGGCGGGTTCAGCCATCTCCTCAAGGGGTGGCTCGGCCACAGGTTCCAGCTCTACCCCCAGGGCCTCCAGGTGTAGCGTGCAGCCAGCCTCATCGACCTCCGCCGGACTGGGGCTGCCAACCAGCTCGTCCCCCTGCGGAGCCTCACCGCCATCCCGTCTCCCCACGCTCTCCTCCTCACTGGTCTCCGGCGGCACCGCGTCCAAGGCGGGCTCCACCACGGGCCCAGGGTCACCGTCTGGCCCCACAGGCTGGGCGGGTGGCTGGCCTGGGGGCTCGGAGTCGGGTGGGGGGGTCGGGCACGGCCCGGGCCCCTCTGGCTCCTGGCCGCCATAGCGGAGCTGCCACACCTGGTCGCCGGGCACGTAGCCGTGGGCCTTGCGCTTGTGGAAGAAGAGGGTGGTGTTGCTGAAGGTGCGGTAGTCACAGAGGGCGCAGCGGAACTCCCGCAGGCGGGTGTGCTTGCAGTTCTCATGGCTCAGCAGCGCTTGCTTGTGGCGGCTCTGGTAGCTGCAGTAGCGGCAGGGGTAGAGCGGGGCCGGCGCGCCCGGGTGGTGCTGGGAGGCCATGTGCTTCTGCAGCTCGTACTTCCGCTTGCAGGCGAAGGCACACACCTCGCACATCAGGGACTTGCCCTGGTGGCGCAGCTTGTGGCTGCTCAGCTGATCGGCCCGGTGGCAACGATAGGAGCACTGGTTGCACTGGTATCTGGTGAGGAGGAAGGGGGTGTGTGGCAAAGTCGCTGTGATAAATCTCCCGTAACCAGCCCCTAAGTACTTCCTGTGGACGAGGCTCTATGCTCCGCGTCCTACTCGTGTCATCTAACTTATTCTTTGCTGCTACCCTACGACATCGGCATCTACTTCCAAGTGAGGGGACTCAAGCACAGAGGTCAATAACCTGCCTCAGGTTACAAAGGAAGTGAAGGGCTGACAGCCCAGCTTCAGGGCTTGTGTTCCGACCCCTACTCTACATTACTCCCCACAGGAAAGACAGCATGAATCCGCCACCCACCGTGGACTCGGAAGGAGCTGCAGGACTGTGGCCCCACGGGGCAGGTGTCTGTGCCTAGATCCCGTTCTCCCACAGAGGTGTGAAAGCTCGGGAGAAACCCCCTGGCCAGCCGTGCCCCAGCGCAGAGGGGAGCTTGCCTGCATGTGGAACGTGGCTGGGATTGCGGTTGCAAGTGCCGTCTCCTGACTTCCCCAGGCCCAGACTCTGTGAGAGCTCAAGGGCCACCTTCACGTCTAGGCCTGGACTCTGGGTCTGTGCTCCCTTCCCTGAGCCCAGGGAGTTCTCCCTGTGCAGACTGGGCCACAGGCACAGAGGCCAGCTGCAGGCAATGGAGCGGACACGAGAGGGGCAGAGAGAGGCATTGGGAGGAGTCGCTCTGGGGCCAGGAGAGCAGGCTGAGCTCAAGAGGATGCTGGCTTAGCGTCAGCTTCCTGGGCTAGGGAGGGAGGGGCGCGCGCTCCTACCTGAGGTCCCCCGCGTGTTTCCGCATGTGCACACTGAGGTAGTGCTTCCACTTGGTGACATAGCCACACTCGGTGCACATATAATCCTTGGTGTTGGAGTGGGTCAGCATGTGCTTGGACAGGTAGCTCACGTCTCGGCACGTGAAGTCGCAGAGCTCACACTTGTGAGGTTTCTCACCTTGGGTGCGAGTGGGGGTAGGGATGGAAGAGGCGGAAACACGGGTCAGATGCAGATGGAGTGAGCACACAGACCATCCCCCACCCCACCCCACCGCCCCCACGCCCGCAAGCTTGCCCTGATGCCGAGCACGAGCGAAAGCTCTTCCTGGCCCTCTCCTCCGCTCCGACGCGGAGGAAGCCTGGGGGCAAGTGAAGACCATGCTTTCCACAACCAGCTGGCAAGTCTACCTGGATTTGCTGTGGAGCTTGTTGGCACTAACGGCTAAGTGCTCCACTTACCCCAATTCCCTCCAGTTTTGCAGAAGAGGAGAAAAAATTAGGCCATACAACACTGTGGTTAAGAATTTGGACTCTGGAGTCCAACCCAATAATAAAGATATTAATAGCTAACAGGTACAGAATGTGCATTACAAAGTGCCCTTGAGCACTTTATAAAAATGCCCCCTCTTGGGGCACGTGGGTGGCTCAGTCGGTTGGTTAAGCGTCTGCCTCCGGCTCAGGTCATGATCCCAGGGTCCTGGGATCAAGTCCTGCATCGGGCTCCTTGCTCAGCGGGGGGTCTGCTTCTCCCTCCCTCTCCCTCTGCCTGCCACTCCCCCTGCTTGTGCTCTCTCGCTGTCAAATAAATAAATAAAATCTTAAAAAAAAAATGCCCCCTCTTGCTGACTCTTCCCAACAGCCCTATGAGGCAGGTGCTAGGACTGCCCCATTTTACAGAGAAAGAAGCTGAGGCACAGGGAAACCACAGAGCTAGGAAGTGGTGGTTCAGATCCCAGCTTACTACTACTATGTGGCCTTGGACAGGTCGTATAACCCCTCCCAGTCTGTTTCCTTGCCTCCAAAGAGGGGGCAACAAAAATACTGACTGCTGATGGTTGGTGAGAAGATTAAATGAGACATCCCAAAGTCCTCCGTGGTGCCCAGCAAGAACACAAGGAAGAGCTGTCCGTGGAGCTGGGCAAGAGCTCGCGCTAAGGGGGCACGCTCCTTCAGAACCCTTCCCTGTGACCCCTGCCTGCCCACTTAGCCCGTTTCCCTGTGGTAAAGGCAAGCGAAATGGTGTTCTGGCTCCGGTTCTAATACTAGCTGTGTGATCCTGAAACGGGCCATTTAAATGTTCAGTTTCTCTCCTTTACCTGCCTTCCTTGCAAGACTGTTATTTACGCATTAAATGAGATAATATGAAAGAAGCTGGCAAACTATTAGAGCCCTGTAGAGATGGGAGATTTTATGAAGGGCCTCAGAAAAATGAGGTCTGGTGACTAAAGCATGCACAGAAATGAACTCTTCAATGGGAACAATGGCTTTGCCCCAAGCTGCCTAAAAGCTGTCCTCCCAAACTAGAATCTTTGATGAGATTTTTTTTTTTTAAAGATTTTATTTATTTGACAGAGAGAGACAGCGAGAGAGGGAACACAAGCAGGGGGAGTGGAAGAGGGAGAAGCAGAATCCCAGCCGAGCAGGGAGCCCGATGCGGGGCTCCATCCCAGGACCCTGGGATCATGACCTGAGCTGAAGGCAGACGCTTAGCGACTGAGCCACCCAGGCGCCCCTTTGATGAGATTTTTTTTAAAAATGTCTTGTCAACCCACTGATGCTTGCCTAGAGATCACAAATGGGATGCTGCTGTAGCAGGAAGCTGAATTTGGTTGTCAGTCAAAGCATTGGTATAATGTTGGCAACCAATTAAGAGTCCGAGTCGCCTGCCAAGGCTCTCCTGGGTGTGGATGGCTCAGTCTCCCCCGTCTCTCATCGCACGGTCTGAAAACCTGAATCACCAAGGAAGTTATCTGACCCCTCCAAACCTGCCCGAGGGTGGGCGGCACCGTGGTTAGAGCATGGGAGGAGACTGCCTGGATTCCAATCCTAGCTTAACCATTTTACTAGCCCAGGGACCCTCCACTTAAGGCTCCTTTGTAAACTACAAATGGTAGATTTAGCTCTAGGAACACGGGGTCAAAGAAAACAATGGATGCGGAGCCCTTCGTGTGTCTCCGGCATCATGGTTGGGTTACTGTAGGGGTTACGGTAGGGGCGACTGTAGGGGTTACTGTAGGGGCGGGAGGCGGCTTACCCGTGTGCAGCAGCATGTGGCGGATGAGCACCCTCTTGTGGGCAGTGGCGAAGTTGCACTCGGGGCACTGATGGATCTTCTCGTGGGCGTGCATCTTGCCCACATGGTCCTGGTAGGCCACAGGGTTGAAGGTGGCGAAGGGGCAGAAGGTGCAGCGCAGCTCTTCGCTGCCCGGGTGGCCCTGCTTCTTGTGTTTGCGGAACAGGTGCTTATTGGAGCAGGCAAAGTCACAGTGCGGGCAGTGGAAGGCGTAGTGGCTTTTGTGGTGCGCCTCCATGGCCTCGGCCGTGGCGAAGAGCAGGGGGCAAGAGTGGTGGCGGCACTCCACAGCCCGCGTGCCGTGGGTCTCCTTCAGGTGCTTGACAAAGGCCTTGCGGTCGGGGGCCGCGTAGCTGCAGCCCTCCTGAAAGCAGCGAAGGGGTAAGGGCCCCGCGGCGGCCGCCGCCGTGTGGCTCTTGAGGTGCTCCTTCAGGGCCTGGCTGAGGCGGAACTCCTCCCGGCACACAGGACAGGCATAGGTGTCCGAGTAGAGGTTGGAAATGTCCTCGTGCATGCTAGCCATGTGGCGGTTGAGCGCATTCCTCTCCACCGCGCTGTAATGGCACAGCGGGCAGTGGTGGGCCTTCTGGCCCAGCTCCCGCAGCAGATGGGTCTTGAGCTTGCTCTTACTGGTGAAGAACTTCTGGCAGTTGGGGCACTGGAGGCTGGGGTCTGGGAAATGGAGATGCAGGTGCTCCACCAAGTGCGTCCGCTTCTTGAAGCAGCGCTTGCATTCTGGGCACATGTGGGTCTTGAAGAGGGACTCGGTGCCAGAAGCCACATCCCCTGGGAGAGGGAAAGGTAGAGAGGGTTGACAGAGAGATTGTGTGAGGTCGGGGGCTGCCCAGATAACGGGAGAACCACCATTTGCCCAGATGCAACATTACGTGGCCTTTCCCTTTTCTCTGCAGGAAACCTAACAACAGCATCTCAAACAGCGTCATCTCAAAAAAGAGACGAGAAATTCAAGTACTGGAAGAAGCAAAATCACAAGGGTTTCTCTGACCTTGTTGTGGGCCCATCTGAAGTGCTTTACCCAGCCACCTACTGTTCCTAAGCCTATGTCTAGAGGTGCTCATGAGAATAATCTGGATGAAGCATTCTCGTTCTTCCTGCCTTCATTCACGGGAGTAGGCAGCGGGACCAGCAGGGTTGGTTGGAAGGAAAAGAAACCCACAGGGTGTGTAGAAGGGAAAAGAAGAAGGTCAAGTACTCCTGCTTCTAAACACTGGTTCACTGAGTTCTAGATCGTAGAGAACTGGTCATAAATACAAATCAGATCTTTTCTATTCACTTGACAGTAAACGTGCTCCCTTGTGGGATGGATGGGTTTCAAATGTTCTAGTGAGTTGGAAAACCGGGAAGCAAGGGTTCAGAAATAAAATCTTCGTGGGCCCAATGCCAGACAAGACAGCCTGCTGACCAATAACCTCTCGCACTTTTTTATGATGAATATCACCCTCTCCTTCCTTGCAAAAGAGCTTTCTGCCTGAAGAAAACCAGCCCAGGAGAGCAAACTCTATTGATCCCTACTCTGTTTCTACGGTCTTTACCCATTTATCATTTCCCCACTAGGCAAATCAAAGTGGAAGGTTAAGAACAAAAGACTACAAACAAAAGCCCAGAGCCACGATCCATTCCTCCCCACCACCAAGAGGTTCAAGCCTAACCACGTCATTACTTTTTTTTTTTTAAGATTTTATTTATTCATTTGACAGAGAGAGACACAGCGAGAGAGGGAACACAAGCAGGGGGAGCAGGAGAGGGAGAAACAGGCTCCCCACCGAGCAGGGAGCCCGATGCGGGGCTCCATCCCAGGACCCTGGGATCATGACCTGAGCCGAAGGCAGTCGCTTAATGAGCCACCCAGGCGCCCCACGTCATTACCTTCTAACTGCTGAGCCCCCTGGCCTTTCTCCAGGGCTTTCTGGGTGTCCTTCAGTGCCCCACTCTCCTCTTCTTCCTCCACGTCCTCCTCGTCTGCTGACTCCTGCCTGGGCAAGGGCATATCTGCTCGTTCTGACGGCTCTCCCTCTCTAGGGGGCAGTTTGGGAGCTGGAGACACATAAAACTTGAGAATGTCTACAGGAGCCAACGACAGCAGTGACTGCTTGTACTGCTGCTCTTCCTGGCTAGCAGGACCACCCCCTCCCCATTTAGTGGAAGAGAACCTTGCACTTGGATTCGAGGTCTATACATTTATTACCACTCAAGGTAGACAGAGAAAGACCAGGAGCTAAGCTATCATTAATGCTCCAACCTAAAGCAAATCAAACCTCAGATAACACCATCCTCAGACCCCTTGAAGGCAAGGGCTTTGAGATCACTGCAGGGCGGGGAGGCGGCTGGAAGGTACAGAATGGGTAGACTGCACTTCCCTCGCTCGGGTTCCCAGGGCTAATGGTCGGTGGCCCAGTGCAGGTGAACATAGCCTGACCTCTAAACTGCTCTACTGAGAAGCCTAACTCAGCAATTCAGGGTCACACCCTGTCCCCTCCAATTCATCGCTTCTACCTCTCCAGAGGCAGTTGCTTCAATAAGGCAAAGACGTAGAACTATTTCCCAGGAAAGAGGGGTCTTCTCTTTGGGAACACAGCACCAACGAGTCTTAGCAGGCCTAGGTCTCTCAGCAGAATCCTGGCCTCTCCCGGCCTATTTCTTCCTCCTCCTCCTCTATTCATCCCATGCCTTGTTTTTGAGACCAAGAGAAGTAAGATTCAGTGAAGTGCCACCCCTCATTGAAGGCTTCTTTTTAAAATAACCCCAGCTTCTCTGGCCCCATCCCACTTGCTCTAAAAGGAAGTCTACAGGCATTCTACCAGTGGCTACAACCGCTGACAACACTTTAGCTTTTGCCCTCAGAAAGTTCTGAAATGAATCAAAAAAGAATAGTCATCAAGTAATTTCAAAGCCACAGTGTTGCCAAAGCCAAATTTCACTCATTGTCATGGACAAAGACTTCCTCTTTGTCTCATATATTCTGACTAGCGCAAGGTTTTGAGAGGCCTTCCCAGGTCTATCAGTAATTCTGCCCTCCTGCACCACTGCTCCAGAGTCCCTTGCATTCATGCACACGTTCATGGCACCGGAACCAACTGCCTCCCCTACAGGACTGACCGTGGCCGCGCTCCAGACAAGGGACTGCTGGACCCTGGCCTCATACCTGGCAGCAGCTCCTGGGATGGAGGACTCTGCTGGGCAGACAGTTCTCCCTGCATCCCGGCCCCGTGGTTCCGCTGATGCTGCCGGAAGAGCTTGACGTTGGAGCCCATGAAGCTGCAGTGGTTGCAGTGGAAAGGGTAATGGGCCTGCCGGTGCAGCTCCATGCCCTGCTGGCTCCCAAAGAGCAGGGGGCAGCCGCGGAAAGAACACGGCACAGGAACTGCAGTGTGGGCCAGCCTCAGGTGGTGCTGCAGACCCTTGCGATCTTCTGCCGAGAACGCACAGCCAGACTCCGGGCAGGGGAAGGTGTCAGGAGTGCCCCGGTGACTCTTGAAGTGGCTCTTCAGGGCCTGGGGTTGGGCAAACTCCTGTCTACACACAGGGCACGGCAGGGGGCTATCTGGTGGACCCTGGCCCTGCGGAGGGCCAGAGAGAGGGAGGTTGCTGGGGGTCAGCTCTACAGAGCATGGAGGGCCAGAGAGGTCCGGCAGAGGCTGTATAAGGGTCTCGGTGCACTGGTGCAGGGCCAGCAGAGCGGGCTCTGCGAAGCTCTGCTCACAGCGCTCACAGAAGTACACCTCCACCACCTTTACCAGGACACCTGCAGGCAGAGGACCGACAGAGGCACGGAATCAGACAGAACGAGACTCACAGGCGTTAGCTTCTAGTAGAAAACGTAGGTGAATCTTTTAATATTGGTGGAATGGAGACGGACCTTAAGTCTTATACCCGGAGTGTAAGCCCCATAGGTCAGGGACAGTCTATTTGCACATGTACCTGGGTTCCCAGTAGGAAGCACAATATTTGGCATAAAACGGGTATTTAATAAACATTTGCTAAATGAATAATAAGCAGTAACCAAATCCAGAAAGCATTAAGAAAAGGCAATATGTTTTGCCCACAGGAAAAATTAGGAGCTTTCAAAAGAAGAAAATGACAATCTGGGGATAATATCTGCAGTTTACGTGACAAAGTGTTACTTTTTACATTCTGTAAAGTGATTTTTTTCAAAGGCACAGTAATTCCTAAAATGGAGAACATCTGTTTTCAAAAGACCCAAATCGTGTTCATAGTAATCACGGTCATTTCTTAAGCAATGGGCAGGATCTTGATAAAGAAAGGCTTAGGAAACACGCACTTGGCCTTCTAGCTGCCCTATGAGAAGAGGGACCCAGAGTTCTGGGAGGTGAAGGCCGTTGCACTTAAGACCCCAGCCCAGGTTTGTGCCATGTCTACTCTGGTGGTTCTTTTTTTCTTTATCATTTCTTTGTTTAAAGAAAAATTCAGCGCAACAATTCAAATGACGTGGATGTACCTACAGAAAGAATAACCAACCCCACCCTTAACACACAATTTGGTCTATATTGTTTTAGGCCTTTCTGAGTCTTTTCTCTGCAATTTGCTTCTCCCCCCCGCCAACGTGCTATAGATCAGATACTTTCTTCTATGCGTACCTTCAGATTTAATATTTTTTTGTCCAGTTCATAGTACTTCCAAGCATGAACAGGTCAAAATGAGGTCTTGCCTTTACTGATGGACATTTGGGTTATTTGCAACCCTTGTAAATAAAGCGGCTCTAGACATCCTTACCCCTGTATTCTTGTGCATGCGTGTGAGCACTTTCTAGAGGACAGAGCCCTAGGAAATGGAATTACTGGGTCAGAGTATGCATATTTTCAAATCTGTTATGTAGATAAATTGACCTTCAAAAGATTATGCTAAATTTATACTCTCTGTAAGCTATAAGACAGTATCTGTTTTCCCACCAACACTAGATATTATAAAAAATGTTTAATTTTTGCCAAAGTTGAGAAAAAACAGTGGCATATCATAATTATTATTATTTTTTTTAAGTTTTTTTTTTAGTAATCTCTACATCCAACATGGGGCTTGAACTCACAACCCTGACATCAAGAGTCACATGCTCGGGTGCCTGGGTGGCTTAGTTAAGTGTCTGCCTTCAGCTCGGGTTATGATCCCAGGGTCCTGGGACTGAGTCCCGTATCAGGCTCCCCGCTCAGCAGGGAGTCTACTTCTCCCTCTCCCTCTGCCCCTCCTCCCTGCTTGTGTGTGCTCTCTCTTGCAAAAATAAATAAATAAAATCTTAAAAAGAAAAAAGAAAAAAGAGTCACATGCTCTTCCAACTGAGCCAGCCAAGCACCCCTCGTAATTATTTTTAACTGGAATTTATTTGTGTGTTAGTGAGATTAAGCATTCTTATGGTTATTAACTATTTTTATTCTTCTTTAGGGAATTGCGTGTAGGTTTCTTTTTCCCTTTCAAAAAAAAAACCCCAAAAACAAAACCCCCTTTCTTTTTCTTATTATGGAGCTCTTTGAATTTCAAAGAGATTAACTCGGGGTGCCTGGGTGCCTGGGTAGCTCAGTCGGTTGAGCGTCTGCCTTCAGCTCAGGTCATGATCTGGAGGTCTTTGGATGGAGCCCTGCATCAGGCTCCCTGCTCAGTAGAGAGCCTGCTTCTCTCTCTCTGCCCCACCCTCCTGCTCTGCTCTTGTTATCTCTCTCTCAAATAAATAAATAAATAATCTTCACAAAAAATTAAAGAGAATAACTCTTCCTTATGTATTGCAAATGTTGTCTACGGCCATACCACCCTGAACGCGCCCGATCTCGTCTGTATTGCAAATGTTTTTCCCGTGTTTGTTCTTTCTTTATTATTTGCTTTACCACACGGAAGCTTAGAAACACTCTATGATCAAATTAGCTAATCTTTCCCAGGATTTGTTGTCACTATACTACACTGCCAAGGCAAGTTGTGACAACTGTAGCCGGAGGATGGCAGTTAACAAACAGGGAAGTTATCTAAAAATAAGAAGTTGTAGATATGGGAAGAATAAAGGGGAGAATCTTTTTTCTAGCACAAATATAAATGCTCAACTCCCACTCTTGACAACATGCCTTGGATGAGTTACGGATGTTACACATAAGAAACTAGGGCAAGGAAATACCGGATTACCTCCGGGAAGCCCTGCCAAGCCCAGGGTGGTGGAGACACTGGGCCTTTTGCCTAATCCCTGGCTGCAGTTCCTGAGTGGGAGGGTCGATATGCTATAGGAGTAAGGATTGGGTGGAGGTGTCAAAAAGGTCTTCCCTTCTGGATTCCTGCCTAGCAGATATGAAGTCCTTGCACGGAGAGACTCTGCCAAGAGCTTGGTACCAGGTTGTGAACCACCTTGCCAGCCTTCAATCAACATTCACCAACTGCAAACCAAATGACAACATCTCTAAGAATAAAAATAAGATGCTACCTTGTGTTCTCATCATTATTTATACAGAAGGGTCAAAAATAGCACAGAGAAAACCTCAGGGCTGATTGTCTCAGTGGCCTGCTAGTGATTGGGTTGGTACCTGGGGTCTCTCCAGGAGCACCTGGGGACAGGTTTCCAGCTACTGCTTCCACAATGATCTCCATGTTCCCTGTGTCCTCTTCAGTTGCCGTGGCCTCCACCAGTAGACAGCCTGGGTCAGCAGGCAAAGGTGTGGGGTTCCCAGCAGGACAGGGGCTCTGGACGGGCTCCAGGATTCCACGGTTAGAGAGAGATGGGGGGATCAGCAATAGCTCAGGGCACAGTCCATCCATCTCCCCAGTGTTGCTGGTTGGCTGTGAGTCCAACACGGGGTCTGTCATCACCACTGACTGGTGTTCTGTGGTCTCCTTATGTGCTGAAAAGCCAATGGAAGAGAACCCAAACAAAACAGAGTTAGAAATCTCACTTTCTTCCCTGTTGGTGTGGGGGCACGGCCCAGTGTCTGCCCACTTAGGCATTTCCTTGCATGGCAACACGCCATACCTAGCTAACCTAGAAGTCTTTTTACAACAATGTTCAGAACAAAAAGTATATAGATGCTAATAGGGATCAGCATTAGGAGAGAGCCAACAAGTTTTGGCCAATATATTAAAGACTGAAGGTTATGTTTCTTGGAGCTAAGTGACCTTGGTGAAATCGTTAAGCAATCTGGGCCTCAGTTTTCTTATCTGCACCAAAACTGGGGCCAAGGGATCTCAGAGGTCCCTTCCCCTCCTAACATACTATGATCTCACTGTTCCTTAGTATGGGTCTAAGGCCCTTCCTTCAGGATCTGACCCTGCTGACCTCTCCAGACTCATCTTCCACCTCGCCCCTTAACAGACCTCTGACCCAGCCATATCAATGAGCTGCCACACCCCAGGCTCACCACATCCTCTTTTGCTCCCATACCCTCACACATGCGCCCCCCCACCCCAGCCTGATGGGCCTTTTCCCCTTCTCCATCTCTCTTATCTGGCTAATCAACTCCCATCCTTTAAGAATCTGCACAAAGGTCACTTTGGCTATGGCTTCTTGACATTGTTCATAGAAGTTACTCTCTCTGGGGTCCCACTGGCACCTTGTACCTAGCTCTGCCAGAAACTCTGTCACACCGCACCATTGTTACCTATCAGTCTCCCTCCCTAGACTTGGAGCTTTCTGAGTGGAATTGATCGACAATATCACTTCACTGAACACAAACCACAACAATCTTCACAAGTCAGACGGATGAGATTCTAGTGAAGAACTGCAGACACGGAGATGCATCAGAGGAAAGCTAGATTTCTACAAAGATAACAAACCAGTGGTTCCTTAGGTATAAAGTAACCCACCCAGAGAAATATCAAACTCATTGACTATGGCCTCATATTGAAAACACTAGAACACAGTCAAGAAATGAATGGCAACTAAACTGCATATCCTGTTTACAGGGCTAAAATTAGCTGAAGTTGAATAATTAGAAATGTATAAGAATGAGGGTAATAGCTTCATGAAATTGAGTCATGCCCCTTGAGTGAGGGCTTAGTGCTAGGAAATCAGGTTGCAGGTGAAAACCCTGCAACTCAAAACCTCGGCTCAGGGGAAGGTAGCTGGGAAGTGCACTTCCACGGTCAGAGGGTTCTCTGGAAACCACAGCCTTCACTTACTGAATATTATCACCGCTCTGTGGGGAGCCAAGGAGGACTAGGTCCTTCTAGATGGAGAACCTGAACCGTCAGCCGCTGGAAGGCGGGTGAGGTGGGAGACAGGTAGTCAGTCACAAGAGGAGAAATGAGCATATCTTTGGGGCAGAGGCATTGAGGAAGAGAAAGGACAAATTAAGGTGGAGAGAGGGCCTGCGGAAAGAATGAGACCCGAGGCACCCGGGATTCCACCTGCCTTTGGGCTCTGACTCACCGCGTAGCCTCAGACAGATACAGTCACCTCGCTTCCCAGGGCCTCAGCTTTCCTATCTGTAAAGTGGAGGTGATGACAGCGTCCACATCGTTGGGCGGGAGCGAGAATCACAAAAGCCAGCAAATGGGAAAGGCGTTTTTGTAACCTGCAAAGCTTGGGATGGCGCATCGTCATGATTACGGTCCTGAGAAGAGGCAGCGGGTAACCGGGCGGGGTCCAGGGCAGTGACGCGGCTGGGGCACCGGGACTGCTGCTGTGATGCGCCGGGGCCCCGATCGTCGGCGTGCTCCCTTCAGCACCTCCTCCCGAGGGGTCCCGCTGCCCAGGCCCACCCTCATCCTGGGGCTCGAGAAACTTTTGCCTGCGGCCCGCTCCACACGCACCCCCTACTACTTCCCGCCCGGCAGCTGCTCACTCACCTCCCGGCCCAGGGCGGGCGGGAGCCGAGTCTCTATGGTCCGCCACGGGCTGGAGCGGCCTCCCGGGACTCCCTTTGTGCGACCGCCTCCGGCCCAGCCACCTCTAGGACATCGGGGCCGGTGGAGGCCGCTCTCTCTTCCCCTCGTCGGCTGACGGGGTACTCTATGGTTTTTCTCTGGCGTTTCCCCTCGCCCCTTCCCCCAACCGAGAAGCTCAAGGAGTACCATCGAGAGTTGTGGGGCAGAGCGGCAGGGCCCGCTGGGTGGGTGTGGCGGGAAGTAGGTGAACGAACGCGGGGGCGGGGCCGAGCGGCGCTTCCCTCAAGTGCGCAGGGCTGAAACCATCGAGAGGGAGGGCCAGAGAGTCATGGCGGTAAGGGGGCGGAGTGACGGGCTATTCCAAACCACGCTGCGGGAGGCGCGAGCTGGGGTGTGGAGGGGGTTCGGGAGGGGGCTTCTGGGCGTCCGACAAGGGCCAGGAGGGGGAAGGGCTTTGTCTGTGGCCTTCCATGCATGGCTATTTTGGCATTCTGGATTCTACTCTGAGCCTCGGCGGTGGTCTCGGCCGTCGGTTCACCGCTCCGCGTGCCCCCTTGCGCCCCGCGCAAAGTGGCGGGGGCCGGGAAGGTGTACTAGAAACGACGTAGTCCCCTATCCCTCGGGATCTCTAGAGTTAGACTCGGTCACGTTTTATTGAGGCGGGGGGAGAGGTTCGGGAAAAATCTCCATGGAGGAAGCAGCAAATGGAGAGGTCTTCAGTTGGAGGGAAGGAATCGATTAGAATGGGCATTCCGAGTAGAGACCTGCTTGAGCAAGGAGAAGGTTGTTTGCATATTTGTACAACCGGGAGTATTAGGCACTAAGAATGAAAGATAGGTGGGCGTCGTGCTGTGGACGGTTTTGAGTACCAGGCAAAGAAATTTTTACCTAATTCAGGGATCTGTTGAGAGCCAGCCATTGGAAGTGTTGCGGTAGCCAGAGTAATAGGATTGAAACGGACTTTATGAAGAATGTTCTGGATCCCTGTGAGGCGATTTGGTGAAGCAGTAGGTAGAGAGACCCATTAAGATGACATTTCAAGAACTAAAATTAATTTTCAAGAGGCAGTTGGGAGGTAATAAAGGGCTAAACAGGACATTAGCAATTGAGCATGTGAAGGACAGGATATTTGAAGAACATTAATCATGGTGACAAGGCATGAGGTTACTGACAGGTCAGTGGAAGAAAATAGCTTCTTCCTCCCCTGTTCACTCTGGCCAGTGGGCCCCTTTCTATCTCAGCTAATCCCAGGGACCACAAACATTCTGTCCATTATCCTGATGAGAAGCTGGTTACCTCACTATCTCGTGTTTAAAGAATCTTCAGACCTAGTCCTCCTGCAGAAAATGAGATACGAACAGGGTAATGAAGGGCAAAATGGAAAGAGGGGCCTGAAGTCTCAGCTCTTGCATTCCAGCACTTCCTCCAGCCCACAGAGGTTATTGAAACACCCAGTAGCACTGACCTGTGCTTCCTGCACTTGGCTTCTGCGGGAGGGAGTGGGCAAGGGTGAGGAGGGATTGCGGAGTCCAGTTTCTGAACTAATCTTGTGCTTTGTCCCATCTCCGCTGCTCCCTTACCCACAGGTTTTGAAAATGCCTCAGAGCCTGTAAGGTTGAGTGTTTCCCTCTCAAGATGCCCCTCTCAGACTTTATTCTGGCCCTGAAGGACAATCCCTACTTTGGGGCTGGATTTGGGCTTGTGGGTGTGGGCACAGCCCTGGCCCTGGCCCGGAAGGGTGCCCAACTGGGCCTGGTGGCATTCCGGCGCCATTACATGATCACACTGGAAGTCCCTGCTCGAGACCGAAGCTATGCCTGGTTGCTTAGCTGGCTCACCCGCCACAGTACCCGTACTCAGCACCTCAGTGTTGAGACTTCGTACCTTCAGCATGAGAGTGGGCGCATCTCCACTAAGTTTGAATTTGTCCCCAGCCCTGGAAACCACTTTATCTGGTAAGGTTGGGAACCAGGGAGGGCTCAAAGAGTAGAAAAGGAGAATGAGGGGAGCTGGATTTGACCCATTCATTCACGCTGCTTGACCATTTTTATTCAGGTATCAGGGGAAATGGATCCGAGTGGAACGAAGCCGAGAGATGCAGATGATAGACCTGCAGACAGGGACCCCTTGGGAATCTGTCACCTTCACAGCTCTGGGCACTGACCGAAAGGTTTTCTTCAACATCCTGGAGGAAGGTGTGGGATGGCACAGGCTGGCCTTACGTGGGGGTTGCAAGGATGGGGGCATTTGACATCGGAGCAAGGGAAGCTTGGAGAGGAGGATCTCAGCCCAGGGGACCAAGACGGAAGCTATTCTGGCACAGCTCTGCCTAATTGCGCGGCAAAGATCTGAGTTGTACCTTGTCTCATCTTCCCCCCTACTAGCTCGAGAGCTGGCCTTGCAGCAGGAGGAAGGGAAGACGGTCATGTACACAGCCATGGGCTCTGAGTGGCGTCCTTTTGGCTATCCACGCCGGCGGCGGCCGCTGAATTCTGTGGTTCTGGGACAGGGTCTGGCTGACCGAATTGTCAGAGACGTCCGGGAATTCATCGATAATCCCAAGTGGTACACTGACAGAGGTGAGCAGCTGTTGGGGTCTTGGTCAGGATGTTTTTGATGTGGTGTCAGAGCAGGGGGAAACAGGCTGGTCTCTGTGGCCAGACGGGCAAATACAAAGCTCTAGCCTAATTCCCAGAGATTAAGGGGAAAGAAAAATTGCCGTGGAGGGTGATTTCTTCCCATCCCAAGGTCATCAGGCCACCAGGGGGCAGGGTTGGGAATGAATGTGGACGTGTGGGGTAGAGTACAGGAATTCATTTTAGGTCTTGATCCTCTTGGCTGTATTCCTAGGCATTCCCTACAGACGTGGCTACCTGCTTTATGGGCCCCCTGGTTGTGGAAAAAGCAGTTTTATGTGAGTAGGGTCACATTCTCTCTTAATCCGTAGACTGGAGAAAAAAATCGGCCGTGGGGTTGGAAAGGGA